TTTCTTAACTGTTGAGCAGTCCTGACTCACTGGGAGCCAGCTCCTCTGAGGGTCACGCTCACATTCTGCTCCATTTCAGGTAGGGAATGGGACTGGTAGGCTCTGCCTGAGGGGGACTTTGTACCAGTTACTAAATAAAGCTATAACTGAGTTTCATTGTTAACCCTGTGTGCTCATGTTGTTTCTCTTGGCATGACCCAAAAACCCAGCCAGTTTTGTCAGTTTTGGTGTCTCTTACTGTGAGAGGCAAACTCTTTCCCGTGGAAGGGGTAGCACTGGCCACCACTTGCCAGAGGTGTCCTTGCGACCATGTGGGAGCAGCATGGTTGGGTGGCCCTGCTGGAAGAGGCTGTCTAAAGGTGCTGAAGAGCTGGCTTCAGCGAAAATGTAAAAAGAAACTTCCAGCTTTGACAGAGTGGAGACTGAACGACAGGTTTGCTGCAAAACAGGCATGTCGCCAAGAATTGCCTCCAAACAAAGGTGAGAACTAGCAGCTGCCTTCCCTGGTGAACAGTGATTTGCACCAGCGTGTTATGGGTATAATACAAAGTTAACCTGTAAACCCTGTGACAAGCAGTGGTTGTGACACAAAAAGGCAGAGGGCAGTTTGGAACGCAGCATGAGGTCTGTTCGCACGTCTGCCCCCTGCACCGCAGCCAGGTGCAGGTGGAGCAATGCGTAGCAGTCGGTCATTTAACAACCGTTTCTTCATCTTCTGCTTTTCAGATCCAGCTTTTACTCTCAAATTTCAGATGTCTGTCATCTTGACTTTCACAGAAAGCTAGCTGGGACTGAAGATGGGTTAAACTGTTGGTCACAGATTAGTCCTGGTCTTGTCATGCCCACAGGGTGGGCTCCCGCAGCCTCCTGCTTCAACATCCTTGGGGGATGTCGTTGCAGGAAGTGAGACAAAGTGTTTTCATGAATCACAAACTGAATGAAAGGTGAGAAATGGGAGCAATCGGCCAGTTGTATTAATGAGCAAGTAGTGAAGTGACAGTGATTAAATAAACAAAAATGTAAGTTTGAGTATATAGAAGACATGAGACTATCAAAGAGACCAGGCCACCAGATACCATGTGACGTTCATTGCTGCTAAATGCAAGTGCTGGATGCAAAGCAGTGTATGCAAGAGAAGACCTGATGTATGTGCAGCACTGTGATTTAATGCCAGCTGACTACACTGAGAAATGGTTCTTCCTCAAGTTCCTGTATGAAAATACAGCAACAGACCAAAAGAAAGGCAAACAATATTAAAATGACAATGAAATGAGTTAGAGGAAATAATACCACAGCAGGGGTTGGTGCAAGCTCAATGAGTGCTGTCTATGATGATGTGGAGCAGGAGAGCTCAGAGCTACCGGCTGCCCATAAACAAGGAGCCCAAGAGAGTAAATAGATGAGATTTTAGCAATTTGGAAGGGGATGGTTAAGAACAGAGCTTTGTTGCCATGGTGGTTCATAGGTATAAGCAAGGCAAGGTTTGTAGTGAAGGTTGTCATCTATCTAATTACCCCAAGGAGAACTGGAAAAAGTAAACTTGTTTTCACATAAGCAAGTGCTTTTCCTGGTAAAAATACAACAATCAAAGCTAAATACAAGTTGAGAAATTAGTTTAATAAAGGGCAAAATGTTTCTTTGGGTGGCATGAGCAATGCCAACCACATCCAGGACTAGAGCTTAAGCTCAAGATGGGCTTCCCTGGGCTGGGGCCCCAAACCACACCAGCACTGGTTCCACTAGCTGCCGGGGGTGCGAGCTGGACACCCGCTGGCTGAGGGGACACAGTTGTGCATTGCCACACTTCAAGGGGCAGCACTGAGGTTAGACTCACTCCCTGTAAACTACCGGAGTGTTTCCTAGACCTCTTTCCTCTGGCTGCAGTTGGGATGCCCGGGGAGGGGGCTCAGCTGGGGGTGGGAAGGCAAATGGAGCCGATGCTTTCCAACTGTCCCACATCATTAGGACTGAATTCTCAATTGCTCAAAACCTTGGGACAAGCTCATTCAACAGCACCCCCAGCCCAAGATCCCAAATCTTTGTATCAGTAAAAGTGTGCATCCTTTTCTTCAGCAGCACAGGGAGAATCTTGCTGAGCTCAGCTCTGCTGAAGGTTTCTCTGGGATCACCAACGGAAAAAAAAAAAAAACAAAACACTTCTCACAGCCTTGGGCTGAGGTTTCTGCCACACGACTGCTGGGCTGCAGTGCCTCTGGTGTTGCACGTTGCCCAGAAAACCACAGTCCTTGTGAGAAGGCAGTTTTGCTCTGCTGCTCCCAGCCCCATGGCCCCAGCTGCAGCCACAGGCAGCCCCTGCCTAGGCTGGAGCATGCTGCACACCCACAGCTGGACATGTTCCTTGGCAAAAGGTGATGGAGACAAACTCTTATTGGCAGTACCAGATGATGTTGCAAGGAGTAACAGCCAAAAATTTTGGTTTGGGAGGCTCAGAACTGGTACTGGGATTTTTCCTTGGTTTTAAGCCAGGAGGGTGGTGCAGCTGTGGGATGAGACATGGGGAGGGATGTCCATCCTTGGAGGTTTTTCAAGATGGAGCCGTAGCCAAGCTGGTGTCAGTCACATATTGAGGCGGTGGCAGGACTGGGGACCTCCAGGGCTCCTTCCCTACAAATCGTCCATTATTTGATCTTAACTCCTGAAACAGCCTGCAGGGATGGTTGCTGTGGCTCACTTTGCTTGGAGACTTGTCCCTCTCCATTGGATCTGAGGTGCATAAGCCGGCATGTTATTGCTGTCCCTGCCCACTTGTGGCATGGGGCTGCCTGGCAAAGGAGGCGTGGGCTGCTGCTGGCTGCATCCTGTGGCCAGAGAAATCTGTGGTTATGCTTTTGCCATTTCTGCATGCTGCATTCCCGCCCATGTGCCCCTTTTCCCAGCCCTACTGTCCAGCTGGGGAGGGTGACTGAAGGTCCCATTTTGTTCACCAGCACTAATCCAAGAAGATGCTGGGCAGCACAGCCCTGGCCTTGGGGGAGCTGAGCCACATTTGGGACCAGTCATGGCACACCCAAGTGTTTTCCCCCACATCCCTGGGGACCCCAGCAGGGCTTCACCACCACTTCCAGGTGCAAATGACTCTTCGCCCAGACATAATCAACTCCTTGCAACCCAGCAGTGTCCAAGCTCAGAGCAGGCTCGGGGGGGGGGGGGGGGGGGGGCTGAACCTCCACAGCCATGCAAAGCCCCATTGGGCAGCTGCTTTTGTAAAAGCTCTTTTTCATGGACATTTCACGCTGTCACAGTGGTTTACAATTGACCAGAAACTTTCAAGGGTATAGCATAAATAGTAGCAGGATGTTCAGCCACAGCACTGTGGCTGGGGCAGGAGCCCCACGGCGGGGACACAGCAGGAAGTGGGGGGGGGACGGACAGTACTGCACAGCTGGGCTGTGAGCACCAGCACAGCATGGCCGGTCCCAGCCCAGGATGGTGGCACAAAAGCTGCCAAGAGCAAATCCCAAGGACTTTCCACAAGGCGAAGGGGTGCAGGGTGCTGACTGAACCAAACTGTTTGCTTTGAAAAGTGAACTATCCACACACATGTTGGGAAATGGCTGCATACTGGGCCAGCATTTGCTGGCACTTGGCTGGGTGGAGGCTCATGCTGGATGGGGCTGGGACTAAGGGTGGAGATGCAACAGATAGGAAGCTGGGGCTCCTCCCACATATAACCCAGCCAGGTACAGGCACAGCTGGGCTTGGCAGTGCTGGGTGCGGAGCAGCGGTGTGCCAAGAGGCACCCATGCATGGCTGTGCATCATCCCAAGGGCAGCATATGGACCTGCTGCACTAGTGAGCAGCTCAGGGCAGCAGCAGCCACCATGCAGAGGAGGTGCCCTGGGACACCCCCCCCCCCTAGTTTGTCCTGGCTAGGGACAGCACTTGTTCAGCCTCACCTCTGAATCCTGGAGTCAGCTCAGTTCCTGCTCTCGTGTGCTGCCCATCCCTCTTCTTAACCACCCCCAAATCCCATGCGATGACCATAGTGCCTTGAGTCCCCTCAGGGATTTTCTTAGGCCTTGTGCCCCGTACCGAGGTCCCCCCAGGGGCACAGCTGAGCAACCTGTTGGCTGAGTGAAAAAGAGAAAACCCTGCATGTGCATGCACACGTCACAGGAAACAGCAGCAGCCCGCAGCCCCAGCTCTTGTGCCTTGCACCCTTTGTCAGCAGTGCTGCTAGGAGCAGCCCTGGCTCTGGCACCTGAAAACACCCAGCCTTAGAGCAGGGGGACTAGGGCAAACCAAGCAGGTCTTGCAGGGCAGGGAGTTGCCCTACTTGAGGGAGACACACTGCACCAGAGGGACACCCTCATGTCTTGTGGACCCACCATGCTGGAGCAGCACCCTACAGGGCAGAGCCCAGCTGATGTCTGCCTAGCCCTGATGACTCCTACACAATGGTGACAGCAGCAAGAAGCAGGTAAGTGGGGTTCACCCCACACTGAGGGTGGGGGAGGGCTGGGTCACACACAGCTTTGGCTGCACCTCTCTATGGCCGAGGAACCAAAACAGACAGAGGGGTGTCCCCATAGAGCCCCATGGGGACCAGCAGCTTGGGGTGTTGCGACAGGGTGCCCCACATGCTGTGGAGGACACTGGACTGGCAGCACACAGCAGGTGAGCATGGCCAGGTGCTGCTCACCATGGGGATGGGGATGCTCTGTGCTGGGAAGGGCCCCCAGCTGTGGGCATGAGGCCCCAGATGCCCTCAGCAAGGAGAGGTGATTGCCTCAAAAGGCTCCCCAGAGAGCTGCCCCCCCAGGCTCAACCCAGCCCTAGCCCTACCTTTCTCATGAGCTGCCATGCTGGCATCCCCCTGCATCAATGCCCTGCCCTGGGTGACTGCAACCCTTGAGTCTGCATCCCCACACAGCTGTGCCACAGGGCTTGTGGCTTGGCAGGGGGCAAACCCCTCTGCCCAGGGCCCATGGTGCTGCTGGCACCAAGCCTGAGCCTCTCTGTCCCTCCTAGACAGCAGCAGCCGAGGCCAGGGGCGCATGCTGACCCTGAGGGATGGGGAGCCTGCCCAGCCGGGAGAAGCCGCTCAGTATCCCACCACCAGTTGCTGACATGGTGCAGCCCCCACCACCCATGCAGGCAGGTAAGTGCCCAGCAGCTACAAGCTTGGTCAGTGTCCCCTGGTGTGCAGGGTCCTCCCCTCCCAGCTGGGGCTGGGTGGTGCCAGGAGAGCTCTGAGCCCCCTCACCTTCCCTATAGACCCCAGCGGCTTCCTGGCTGTGGCCCTCTGCGACTTCCCTGCCAGCGCAGGGGCAGCCACCGTCCTGAGGATGGGAGAGCAGCTCCGTGTCCTCTCTGAGTAAGTCCTCACAGTGAGTAGGCACTCCCAACCAGTGTGGAGCCACGATGGTGGTACCCATGCTGGGGGTCGTCCCCGTCCCCCCCACCCAGCAGCCTCAGCCCCTCAGGATGGCTCATCCCCCTCCCCCACAGGGATGGAGAGTGGTGGCTGGTGGCATCCGAGGTGTCCAGAAAAAAGTGCCACGTCCCCAGCAGCTGTGTGGCCAAGATCAGGCACAGGTAAATGCTGAGAAGGTTCTGGCTCAGGGTGGGCCCAAGGCTTTGTGTTGCACCACCTGCCCTGTTTCTCTCCCCAAGCCATGGAGCAGCACTGGGGCTCAGGAAGACAGCACTGTGTGCCAGGGTGGCCCCAGGACATGTGCTGCTGCACCTCAAGCTGTCCTCTCTGCCCTGGCCAGGGCAGGACAGGCCTCGGGGCACTGCGTGTCCCTGCACAGCCAGGAGTGGCTCTGCCAGTGCCCCCTGCCTGTGCAGGTGGCTGTATGAGGGTGTCAGCCGGCAGAAGGCAGAGGAGCTGCTGCTCCGGCCAGGCAACCGCAGCGGGTCCTTCCTGATACGGGAGAGCCAGACCAGGCAAGGTGAGAGCCCTCAGGCCCTGACTCCTATACCCCCTCCCAGCCATGCCCACTGGGGTGCTGAGGGCATGAGCAGGGCCACAGCAGGGCTGATCCTCCATCGCTCGCACCTGGTGGCAGCAGCCTGGCCCACATGGCAGTTTCCTGGTGCTGCTGCTCCCTGCTTCATGCTGAGCCTCTGCCACTGGACCTCAGAAGAAAACAAAAAACACCAGGCTTCCTGCAGCTTCTGGTTAGCTTCTGAAGTGAAAAGGCTCAGCCTCTGAAACAAAACAGGGTCCCATCATGATCAGGTGCTTGAGGGGACCCTGTGAGGAGATCCTGCACGGTGCCCCAGTGCATGTGGCTGATGCACCAGCACAGCACTGCATGGCCCTGCAGCTGCATGGGCACCAAGGGGGTTATGGGGCTGGGTATGGCACATCCCTGCATGGCCCCCAGAAGTGGAGACTTGGGTACAGAGCCACAGCACCCGATGTGCTACTGAGGTCATCCCATGTTCTGGCACTCCCCCATCCCCTGGTTTGGAAGTGCTCATGGTGTGGGGCTGGCACAGGGGTGCTCACAGCCATGCAGCTCTATAGGGAGAAGGGTGCTGCCAGCCACCCCCATGGGACAATAAAATCCCTAATGTGGGAGAGTGCAGGGCAGTGGGGCTGAGCAGGGTGGGTGCCCACGGCAGCTTGGCCATGTGCCCCTCACCCCGTGCCCCAGCAGGCTGCTACTCACTGTCAGTGCGCCGCAGCGAGCGTGCCTCCTGGGACTCGGTGACACACTACCACATCTACCGCCTGGAGAACGGCTGGCTCTACATCTCACCCCGGCTCACTTTCCCCAGCCTACACGACCTGGTGGACCACTACTCTGGTAATGCTCCTCCAGGCCACTGGCATCCCCAGTCCATGGGGGGAGATGACCTGTGCCCTGCAGCAAAGGAGGGAGCGGGGAAAGGTGCCCCTGGGGTTGGGGTGCAGGTGGGGGCACCCTGCTGACACTGCCTGCTCCCTGCCCAGAGTTTGGAGAGGGGCTGTGCTGCCTCCTCAGGGAGCCCTGCTCCATGGAAGGGGCAAGGGTGGCCCCAATCTCCACCCTGCCCACTGTCATGAAGCCATCGCTCAACTGGGACAAGATTGACAGGTAGGGATGGCTGGGGAAGGGGCTGGGGCTCCCCCCACCACCCCTGACAGACACTCAGGGGTCTAGGGTCTGTCTGCTGACTGCCCCATCTGCCCTCCCACAGCTCCCTCCTGCTCTCAGAGGCCACATCCCCACCAGAGGAGGACTCTCCCATCAGCCTGGGCCTGAGGGAAGCCATCAGCTCCTACCTTCTCCTGACAGACAGAGCCACACCCAAGCAGAGCCCTGCAGGGAAGGGGGCAAAGAACAGCTGAGGGCAGGGCCCCACTTGGCCACAGCCCCATGGCAGACACCCAGCCCTCATTATATCACTCACCTGGTTTCAGCCACAATCACTGTTGATGCCCTGGGAGCCAGGCACCTAGGGGCATTGGCCTGGACATGGGACAGCTGAGACAAAGGTGGGGAGGGGCAGGCACCAACACTGGAGGAAAGGGCTGCCCAAGGGCCCATCCCCCCCAAAGCTGGGTGCTTTAGGACATGATGTTTGTGCACCCCAAGCATCACCCCCACACCCATGGGAGGAGAAGGCAGAGACTGTACACAGGAGCCCTGCCTGCCCCACGGGCCGCAATGGTGCCCCACTGCATCTCCGCCCCCACAGCAGCAGGGAAATGGGATGCAAATACCCAACAAGCCAAAGCCTGGCCCAGGTGGGAGAACAGCCTGACCCTGTCAGACCCTGCAAGTTCATGCACAAACTTTTGGGGGTGTGTCTGTGCAGGACAGGATCTGTGAGCAGCAGCTGCAGACCCTCATGCTCTCATCCACCCATAACTCGCCCCTCTGCTTATTGGGACCAGCACAGCAGCAGCCAGGAGGAAACCAGCCCCTCACAGCACCCCAAGTAGCTGATTTTTAAGCCTTTAAACATATGGATTGTACTAGTTTTAAGGTCCATAAAACATGATCCTGGTAGACACGCAGCAATAACCATTTATAGTATCTTAATTATAGGGCACTTTGTTCACAGTCAAGGGTTTGTGAATAAATCGTGAACTGCCAGCTGCAATCACGGGGCAGGTTTCCACCCACCACAGCCTGGGGGGTTTTGCTCCTGCCACAGCCATCACTCCCAGCCCTGCCATCAGGTCTGGTCCTTGGCCAACTTGCTTAGGGCAAATTAATGAGCCCTAGAGGTTTAAAAATGTTTAACATCACAACTCCTGTTCAGGAACAATGGGGCAAGAAATGGGTGCATGCCACAACTAAATTCGAAAAGGCAGAATGCAGATATTCATGTTCAACCCTGACCTAGGCTACACCTCTGCACTAGAGGGGGCCTTAAAAGCAGCAGAAATGCCTCAGAAGAGCAACACACCAGAGCCTTTGCTTTCAGCAGCCCTTTATCAGCAAAGCACAGCCTGGGGAAAGCACCTGAAGCTTCCTCTGCGGTGAGAACCAGTGCAGAAGCAATTTCACCATGTGGCAACATCCCTTCCTTCCTCTTCCTCTGCACCAGGCAGGACCCCCCCACTACCTGCAGGTTTCCTGCCTCTGACATGCTCAGATCTCCTCTTCATTTTCATGTCTGATGAGCTTGCTCTTGTAAACCTACTGTCGCTTTCTCACTTCCTTCCACACCACAGGCCAGAGCTTTACACACCTGCTCATCCATCAACCTCAAACCCAGGTGTCTTTTCAGCACAGTACACAGGTCAGGGTTTAGCCCTCAGCCTTGACCTTGACCTGCAGCCCGCTGTCACCCCCAGGCCCCCAAGGCAGTGGAGGGTTTTGCTTCCTTCATTTTTGCCATTAACTCACATTGTGTGAACAAAGGCCGGCTCTTGGGCCTCCTTCCTCTGCCTCCAACCTGGATGCAGGTTGTTGGATGCTTTTATACCACAGTGATGGTTCTACCTCAGACTGGATGCAGCCAGTCAAGAAACTGCTGCTCTAATACTCATATCCTGGTGACTGGTAAGATGGGAAGTACCTGGCTGGAAAGCCTATTTGAACCCTTCCGCAACACTGGCAGCCTCTGAACCCTCCTTCTTCCAGCCCCATGGCAGCTCTCTGCCAAGCCCCACAAGCTCCTTTTTCTGGGCACACTTCACTCACGCTGGGAAACATTGTCACAGGTCCCCAGAACAATGGGGCAGTGGCACTCAGGGCAGCAGAGGATGCTGCTGGGTGCGACCCCAGGGTCCCCAGCCCAGACTGCTGCCATCCCCCGTCCCTGCCTCCCATTGCTGAACACTGCAACCCCAGTCAACATCACAGGCACAAAGCCAGATGCCAAACCAGGTTTTTAACAGCTGGAAGAGGTAGAGCAGGTCATGACATCTCCCAGCAGCAGCTCTTGCCACAGACAGGGGAAGGCAGAGGGGAGAGGCAGGGGCTGCCCAGGCAGCACAGGACTGGGACACTAAAGGCTGTAAAGGGACAGAACAAGCCCTGAGGAGACGCACCAGTGCCAGGGTAGCAGAGGACCTGCCAGCTGCCTCCACCACCCAAGGGTGGGCAGCTATGGAGACCCAGCAGGGACCAGGGCTAGCATCCATCCCCACCAGAGGTGCTCCAAGTGCCCAGGATCCTCATGGGAAGAGGAGCTGCTCGGATGCTTTCTGCTGTGTGCCGAGGGCACACTGAGCTTGCAGAGCTCTGTCTGCTTCAGCCAGCCTGTGGCCAGCACTGACCTCCTCCGAGAGCTTCATCACCAACTTCCTCTGAATTGACAAGTACTTAGTGACATCCAGATGTGCAAGCTCACCATACAAGCCTATGCTTTGCCCCCTCACCCACCTGAAACTAAACTGCTTGGGCATCTCTCTTACAAGAGCAGCCACCAAGCACGTGCTGGGTTCAAAGGGACTTCTGAAGGGAGTTGGAGGAGCTGCAAAATATCCAAAGTATCTTCAGTAGCTTTGGACCTCTATTCAGAGGACACAGCCATTTCTGGAGCCTAGATTCAGTGTGGCATTCAGCAAACCAGTACTCCAGTTGACACGAGGGTACAGAAACCCACCACGTCATGAGCTGGTTCTTCCCTTGGTGTCCCTTGAAACAGTGTACGTACGCCATCTGCAAAACTTAAAACCACCACAGTCTCAAAGCTCCTCTCCTCCTCCTGGGCCCAATGCACCTTACATCCTGAAACAATGGGAAACAGGGCCCACACCATCCCCAAGAACTTGGTGTGGAGTGTTAACCAAGGAGACTGTGGCATCATTCAGCCTTTACTGAGCAAACACCTCGATAGCACATGAGCACCACCAGCAGAAACACCCTGCAGGCAGAACATGATGAATTCCAGCTTTTTTGTTGTTTTGTTCCCCGTTTTCCTGTCTGCATGTATGTTCTAATAGGAAAAAAACCCCGTGGTATTTTCTGTTTTTAACTACCTGCCTATTTGAACATGGACTTTTTGTGGTTCGCTGTGGCAGGTATTAACCAGACAAGAGCTGTACATAGTTTTTTCCCTTCACATGAAAGCTGCTATGCAAGTACTGAAGGCTTAGTATGACGACAGGGAATATTCTTCTAAACAACTCTAACAGCTTGAGGAGCTCAACAACGCCACTGGAAAAAAACAGACCAAGTATCAGTCACAAATGCTTTTGCAATTTGACAAAATGCCAGTGCTGCAGCAGCAGGGAGGCTACTCTAGCATCAAACTGAGCACAAATGAGATCCACCGTCTGGACGATGATCAACAGTAGATGATGTAATTACAAGAAATGATTTTTCGGTCAAATAACAGTAAAAATATTAAAACGGTTGTGTCAGATTTCTTAGGCTGAGGAACTTCAAGGTAAATTTACCTGCATGAAGGCTGACAGACGACTTAGCAACTGCCTCCTGATGTGAGAGTCTGCACCTACAAGAATCTTAAGACAAGCAAGTAAAATGGGGAGCTTGGACAAGCTCAAATCAGAGGGCACACATTCCCAGAAACATGGCCAGCACACATTTCAGTAAGTTATTTCAAATCCAGATCACATCTTCAAAACCTGATTTTGACATTTAAATGACCAGCAAAACCTACACAATTTGACTGAACCATGAAACACACACCTGATCTGCCACCAGTGGCCGAACGTTCTCCAGGCTTCGCAAGCCAGGCTCTAGCAAAGTGATGCACCCTCGGGCCTTAAAATCCAGGAGTTTTACAGGAAATCTTGTTTTGAGAATGAAATTAGGAAGGTCAATTTGTTAGGATAAGGGAATAAACTTGTTTTCCTGCTACTGGGGGAATAAGAGAGGGGAAGAGATGGAACCAGAAATGCATCTGAAGGCACATCAGTGCCTGCCCCTGCCTTTAGGGACACCCTGTGCCAGGTCCTTTCCTCTCCAGCTTTTCCTAGCTTCTCGCCTTCCCATGCCTATGCATTTTTTTTCTATATGGATTGTTCAAATACATCAAAAGCTCCTTCCTTTACATTAATGCTAAAGCAGCACTCCCTCACGCAGTGAACACGCAGCAGCTTCTACACCACGCTTGCTGCTGCTGCCCAGAAGCATGACAGCAGCTTTCAGGAGAACATCACAGGCACAGCACCCACATGGTGTTCCCTTCCAGCTCAACCCTCCCAAACCTACCTGAAACTCAACTGCTAGCTCATTGCTACATGGGCAAAACACATTTTCACATGAAAATTGTATAGAAATTACATATTTTTCTCTACATAGTCTGCACTGTACAGCTGACAGCACTTGCCCTAAACTAACTCTTCAGAAACTAACTGTTCAGGGAAGCTACACCTTTAGGTCTCTGCACTCTTGGAACAAGCATCCTGGCTTCACACTTGTCTCCCGGCGCAAAAGTCTCGTACACACACTTCCAGATGCTACAGTGCTCTGCTGGTTACAGCAGCTTCCTACCTGCAACATTCATCTTTTGTGAAAGGAATCAGAGGGATGAGCCAGCTGCCCCTCTCTCATCAACACTGCCAAGTGCTCAGCAGCAGCCCTGGTAGGCTATTTGTTGAAATAGGAACAAAAATTAGGGTCAGATTACATATACTAGGTCCCAATATATTACAAATATTAGGATTTGGGAATCAAGTGTACAAGCTCCTCACTAAAACAATATCCAATATAAAACAATACGTAACAGTTTACCTATTAAGAATATTTATATGAGACAGATCTTGAAAGCAAACATTTCCATACTTCAGGAACAGTTAAGATCTATACTCCTGTCAAACTACAGTACCTGTATTTCAATGCTATGTGAAGAAAAAAAGTCCAAAGTTATTTTACCAAATAATCATTAATTGAAACAAAGACTTTACTAAGACTTAACCAACAAAACCTATTTATTTACTCCAAACACCAAGATACAGAAGTTTTCAAGTTTTGCAAATATTGCTCCAAAGCAAAATTCTATATACAGCGCCCTCAGTTCTAATAGTGCATAAACAAAGACAAATATACTTATGTGTCCACAGTGCAATGTTTGCTCATTTCATCAAGGCTCCATGTTGCATTCACTTACCAGTGATTTAAAGAAATAAAAAAGTGACCTCCCAGACCAAACAGTTGGTCCAGACTACGAAGTAACAATGTGGAAACTTGCAAAAACAGGGACAAAAATGAATCCAGGCAGAGCACAATAAAGAATCTTTCCTGAATATGAGAAATGCTATTCTATTTTAAATAAATATTTTCAGTCTTTATCTGCAAGGGCTTCCCTAGCTCTAGTAAAGGTAAACAAGTCTCCAGTATTTGCCATTTGATTCACCCATCAGAACTGCCTTTTCTTCCAAATCTTAAATACTGCCCTGAGCAAAAATAAACTGGCAAAGTAAAAACATACAATGAACACACAAAAAGCAATTGGTTGGGAAGGAGAAGTTCCACTCTGGAGTGAAAAGTCTGCTCAGGGGTTTAACTGCTGTCATACCCTCAAACTGTAAGCACAGCTGACTTGTTAACAATCCAGCTATGTTCTTCTCAAGAGACGCCTGTTTGGAGTGCTTGCTTTACAGATTTGAACCAGGGAACGCTTTTCTGGTCGATCTCACCTGAAAAAAACAAAAAACCTTCACAGTTGTCCAGGGTGCTCCTTTTGATGCTGTTCTGGTGGTCTGGTTACTGCCGCTTGTTCTAGAGCTACACAGTATACATGAATCCAGGTGTCATGAACAGGAATGAGACAAGGTATGAACATTGGTCTCATCTTCAGAGAGCAAAGTGATTCTTAAATATCATGTAAGCTTTATTTCAACTGTGTTACAGAAAAATAAGTTTATTTTTCTGCTGTACATATGTTGTATTCACTATATACCAACTAGTACTATAAAACTGAGACAAATTATTCCCTGAAATGAGTCTTGGCACAAAAGCCTTAGTTATTACCTAGAGTAGCCTAATTATTTTGTTTTCTGAAGGAAATAAAGTATTCACTGTGTAGATCGTGTTAACTCCTACAATAATATTGGATATTTCAAGTTTACATTATTCTTTGCAGTATACAAAGATTACAGATTCATATAAAAAATTAGTAATTTGTACAGTTATGGGTCTTTCAATTACAACTGTGCTTAAATTTTACCCTTTGGTGGTACCATCACACACAAAGTCAAGGTAAAGAATCCAGCTTTTTAAGGACACCCTCTCACTGCAAAAACAGCTTACCATTTTCCACAGTGAACTTAACTCAGCAACATTTGGGAAGGAAAACTAAAGTCACAGTCATTATTTATGGAGCTATGATCTGCAGCTGAAAGACTTTTAACATCTCAAATTCTTACATTACACCAATGTTTCAAAACATACTGTATAATGCAATTTCAACATAAGCAGCATTTTCACCTTGCTCTCAAAGTAATACAAACCAGAAAATTAAAACTTAAGGTATAAAAAAGGACTTTGTGAACATACACCATTTAAGATAATAACCCACTCACTGTCTGTGAGGACAGTACCTCATGCATAGATCTTGAGGCTTTATTTACACAAATACAAAATAAACTGATTCCCAAACCCACACATTCATGGAATAAGTTTTTACAATGAACACATTCAGAGTATTGAAAAAAGTCTACATTTCAAAATATAACAGGAATGGCAATTATTAACAAATGGGTAGAAAACTACATAACGTCCATTACAGACCTTGTTGAAGTCTGGAACTCCAAGCACATCTCCAGTCTATTCACGGTGGTATTTCATACTACCGCAACAAGGGCATCCCACTAGCACTGCTTCAGGAGGCACAGTATGGCCATATTTAAGAGCTCAAGAACACACATAAACACAACATTAATGGGTCTCCCCAGTACCAAGTCATGTGATAGTGACAGGATAAATACGGAAAACAATCATTTATTCTGAAAATAAGTGCAATCCACCTGTGACCTTCTGCTACATTATTTAACATAATAGAAGTGGGGTTTAGGCCACTGTTACTTGCAAACCTCCACGTAACACTTTATAGTTAAGAGCTGGACATTCATACTTACTACGTCTGAAAACTGTTATAACATTTCCTAGTGATTAAATACCATGTGCTATTATGCATAAATCAGAAGGAGTAAAACATGACACAAGTCACTTAAACTATGCAACGTTATTTACAACCTCTATCAACTAAACATTTTTGGCTCTTAGAACTCTGTTCTTCAGTGGCACAATTTTTAGTCAATTTAATTATGAAAAAGTCTACTGTTTCAATGAGCAACTTGTAAGGAGTGAAAATTTAAGTATAATTTATCAACCAACACCCAACCTCTGAAGACAACAGTATGACCTCTTCTATAGCGTTATAATTGCCTAATAAACCCGAAATTATGAGATAAAATAACCATTTTGCTGTTCTTTGAACCGCACTTCTTCACAAATCCCTGAAGTCAATCTGCATCACATGCAACCAGCATGCTAATTTCATTTAAATATACAGAGCTGTTCACATCAGATGCTCCAACTTCACACTCAGTCTCCAACATTTTCTAGTCTCACGTTGAGCAGCAAAGTGCAATCTGTTGCACTTTGCCTAGGTCCGTTATAAGCTGCTTTATACAATGTTTGAGTTGTGGGAGTCGAGCTAGTGGTTCTGGTGGTTCCAGCTCTCCTGTGTAATCCAGCCAACTCTCCAAAACTGCAAAGAAAAACAAAACTATTCCAGTTCTCAGCAAATAGATCACCTTAAGTCAGAAAACAGGAATTCTTTAAATCTTTTGTGAATTTTGACAGAACGGTGGGCAACATTCGAAAAATCAGAAAACCAGGCTCCTCACGCCAATCTTTGCCAATAGCTTTTGATACATGACAAAACAATTCATGGGGTGGGGGGGTGCAGGGAGAAAGGAGAAAAAAAACCCCAGTGTTTCCAGGAGAAAGCAGGGAAGGAAAACTCAGGACTAGATACTGTAAAATCTGGTGCTAAAATTCCTCTGATCTGTATCAATTCCACAGTAAGGACACTGCGATACAGGAAGTTGATATCATTAGAATACCTTTTAAGATCAGCATGAGATGCAACTGAAGATCTTAAAAGGGTAGGACTACGCTAATGAAAGAAGTTTGTTGTCCATACAGAATATAATTGGCCAAGACAGAAAGAACTGGAAAACAGAAAATGGGGATGAAATCCAAAAACATGAACAGCAGACTACTGCACAAAAAAAAAAAAGAAAAAGAATTCGTGCTCTAAAGCTTCTCAGTGGGAAATGAGAACCAGAAATACTACTGACCAAAAGATAACTCAGGTGACAATGTAATACAACCACAAGAAAGGTGGTCAGATTGAACTACGATGAGTTCAGGGGATGGGACAGTATCGTAGAAGGAGACTGAAACCTTGAAGACAGAATACATCTGCCAAGAGAAGCAGTAGTGGCCACTGCCACTAAACTAGATAAACAGGGTAGTTTAACCCAAGGGAAGTATCTGCTGAAGAACTGGTGGCCATTACGCAACTACTGACATATCCAGCCTTGAAATAAGAAATTCCTGACCAGAGTAGCAATGCTCTGAGCAGCCCTCCAGCTCAGCAGCAGATACAAAAAGCCTGACTTTTGTGAACCAGAGCTTCTTCATTTATGGAACAAGCATTATGATTACAGGCTTGATGATCTTCATTACCTGAAATATTCCTTTAGTAGTTCAACTTTTCAGTACCTTACTAACTACAAAAGAGAGGACTCTTACTTTGGCAAAGGTTAGATTCCCAATACCCTTGCAAGACAAGCTGCTGTTGTAAACCACCGTAAGAACTAATGGTCAGACTTAAAGATGTTAAGAAAAAGAACTATCCTGCATTGTTTAATGTAACACAAAGGGTTTAGAAGAAGTTTTCCATTACTACAAAAACAAATTTCAAGAGACATTTAAGTAAAGAATTCAGAAGAGACAGGAAGAGAGCCTTGTGCACCAAAGAGGCCACCTAGAATAGGCTAACACAGCCAGCAAGCCCCTGGAGAACAGGAAAGTTCAGACACACGGAAGAGCTATGGAAAATGACAAAAACCTGAAAACAAGAAGACATGGAAGGCATTCTACTACATCATCTGATGCAAGTACTTAGAGGTGATCCAACTAGATCTTTTTCTACAAAATGGTGCTCAGTTTTAATTTGATCTTTGTTTTAAAATCCACCCCACGTCATCATCAGCATGTCTACTTTCTATTAGTAAATGCAGTAAATCTGACAAAGCAACTATCACCTCTGTAGGTCTGAAGTAATAAAATTCAAGTTAACATGTTTTGAACAGGTAGTTCAGTTAAATACAGTTAATTTTTGAAATAGAAAAATGTTACCTACCATCTAGCTCCTTCTCAATGAAATCCATTCTGTGTATGACTTCATCTTGCAGAGATTCCACATGAGCTAAAAGATTAAGCTGCCACTGCAGCTGCGAGTTCACAACTCCTTCTTTGTCTTTTTCCAGCAATTTCATTTCAACAGCTTCCTCTGGAGAGACCTTCTTGGAGACAGACTCTCTTACCTAGCAGAAATACAAACATTAATATTCATTACAGCGAAACAGAATTGGTGAGCCAGACTGTCTGGGTCCTTACAGTTATCCAAGCTAATTGCTCAACTAATCTTCGGCTAGCGGAGGATAGAGACACACAGAGAAGAGATTGTACACAAATATTAAGGCAGTTTGGGCAAGCGTATCTAAATGTAGACATACTTTTATAGGTATTTTGCTAAGATCTATTCTTCGCACTTCACAAGCACATTATTTTCAAATGGTAACATATATACACATAGCTAGCTCCCTGCCAACCTCCAGCTGAAAGATACTGCACTTAATCTGTGCATCCTAGGGAACACTAAAGCCATTTTAAATGTGACAGTAATCAACTAAAGAGCAAATGATTTTGCAGTGAGAAGGGATTTTTCCTGAAGCAATCTAATCTCAATTCCACTAAAACTTTCATAGAAGCATCTAGAAAAAAAAAAACATTACCACCACTTACGAAATGTGACTACACCATCAGTGTTGATTCTACTCCCCTACTTTTCTTCATCATCTTGCTAAAATATGACAGGATTTAGAAAAAGGTTCCTAAAAGACTGAAGAACTGAAATATATGTCTTTCTGGGAAACATAAAGCAACCTCAATTGATTTGATAGATAAGTTAAAAAGAACATAAATTACAGCTTACATATGCATGAAACACAAGCTAAACAACCTTTTAATCTAAAATAGGGAGGTCAGTATTTCCCAGAGTCCTTCTTGCATTTGTCAGACTGTATTTCATATGACTTGGCACTAATCGAAGCAAAATTTTTGCCTTGGGGTATAGAAATAAATGCCTCTGATAGACCTGATAGGGCTGAAAATGACAACCAAGAGTTGAAAAGATAACACTGGAGTGCTCCAGTAGGAAGAAGATACAGGACTATTCAACGATGATCATTCTTAAAGACCAGTTTAGGCTACTACTTTTTTTCCCCCCACCAGGAAATGCTACCTGAAGAACTTGGAATTAATTTAGTTAATGTATTTATTACAAGAAACACGGGAACAAGATGGAAATAACTAAAAGCTGGAATGCCAGTGCATTTGGTAGTATCATACATGCTTGCCTTGTTCTCTCTCTATCCCATTGCTAGTGTTTATTTTTACATTTAAACACACACAAAAGTAAGAAGCAATGAACTGCTAGTGGACCATAATACATGTTCCACTGACTGTGCAGGTGATTTAAGGTCCAGAAGTCCTCTTCAACCTAGATTATTTTCGTAAGTTATTACTTGAAAGGGAGGAGTTGATTATGTCTATCATTTTAATGTGTAGTGGCAACTATAGATTTAACAGGACAGGAAAAAACTAAACACAAATAAACAAACTACTATTAAAAAGGATTGAGTTTTGCACTTTGCCAGGCAAACACATCCTCTATGCAGACAGGGTTATTTTAATACAAATACCTTAGAGTAATTGTGTTTAGATTCATTTTCCACCTTGCATATTTCTCGGTCCAGATTCCAGCCAAATCTCTCTGACAGAGCATCATCCCCATTTTCCCTTATTCTGTTTACTCCATCATCCATGGCTGAACCTCTTGTTTCCACAACCAATCTCTGCTCTATCGCAGGGTAGTAGGCCCGAGGCTTCTGGTAACAGTGTTCACTCGTAATGTAAGATTCCTCCACAGAAGGAATGGTTGAGGGTTTCTCAACTGTCCCATTCCAAGTTCTATAACTTGCCGTATCCTCTTTGCAACAGTTCTCCTCAATGTGAATGATATGTTTTGTATGAATTTTTTCATCCACCGTAATGTGCTTCCATGGATGGCACCAAAGCTTTAGGTCAGGATGTTCTTTATTTCTGTTCAAACATAAAAGTAGTAAAACATCCAAATTTAAACGCCTAAGTGACTGAGCAAACTATCCTAATTACATCAAGAAATTAAATAAGAATATTTGAACTACTACATGCTTTAGTCAGTGTAATCAGTAAAAAAAATACCCAAGTATTCTGAAATAATACAATTTCACTGACCTCAATTGTGTATCTTCCTACAATGTTCTGTTATGTTCACTATTTTCATTTCTATAACATGGTATACAAGCCAAGTGTTGCCATTAAGAAAAAAAATTGTAGAATAAGTTTCAAGTTGATACATGGAGCTTTTTACCAATGTTGCCCTTGAAGGAGCATTTTGCTTCAGTATTTGCAATTTATTAACAGCATAAACTCATTTTCACTGGGGTATTTTTAGTAAGGTAAGTCAAGTACTCTGAAGCTAAACTAAGATTTTAACAATTTTAAACACCAGTAAAACAAAAACACCCCCTCAAATCACTCAGTATCAAACTTTACCCTGTAGTTCCCCAAAATAAGCATCAAAATTAAATCCATTGATCTTTTATAACTCTCTAATAACAACAGCAACTGGGGAGTTGGGGGCTGGGGTGGTGGTGTACAACTTCCTTATTATTTCCTTTAAGACTTTAACTTTCCTTTAAATCCGAACACGCTAAGCAAACTCTACTGCCTGGTATACCAACATGCCATAGTCCCCCCATCTGCTCCTTATAAAAAATTCATATTTTAATTGTTTTCAAATTGACTAATACGTTTTTTATTCCAGCAGCAGGGACAACTATAGGTATCAGATTCTTACATGGATATAACAAACAAAAGGTTTATAGTGAGCACTGTAACCGATACTGTTCTTCCACATCTGTCAGGCATTAAAACAGCAGTAAAAAGGAGAGCAAAGCAGAATCACTCTGCTTATCTTCAAAGGGTAGGCAGCTTATCTGCTACAGGCTACAAGAATGCAGCAGAAGCAAATCCTGACCCTAAAGCATCTGCATTCAGCCACATGGAAAGAAAGGGGTCTGCCCCAAAATCCCACTCTGTGCTTCCTTGCAAACAAAGGCAGATGGACTTACTCCATTAGGCTGATCCAGCTTTTCTCCAAACCACTCAACAAAACATGACCATTTTACTTCCAAAGTAACTGCTTTCTGATCTGTTCTATAGTACCTAAGGTTTCTTCAGTGCCTATCAGAGGAAACTACAACTGCCAAGGACTTGCTCAGACCACTTTACACAAGCACTCTACCTCCAGTGACTGCATGTCTATGATATCCTTCATGAGCAATCCTGAAGGCACACCTAGAAAAGTAAAAGCCAGGTGTCCACTTACCAAAGCTTTCTATTCCAGCTCCACTGATATGCTACACCTAAAGGCACTATTTTGCTCGTCATAGAGCAAGGGATAACTTCACAGAAGACAGAAAATTGAAAGATGATGCCCCAGCTACATAAGGATGAAAAATTGAATGCTTAATACTTGAGCAACCTTTTAACTATTGCCTTCTGAAGGCTGGCTCTCCCTGCCATTGCACAGAAACTGTCAGTGTCACCTCTGATCCTTTGCCACCTTCTTGAAATACTGAGCAAAACTCTCCTAATAATTTCAGGCAGCTGTGAAATCATCTCCTCTCCCCTAGATGGTAGATCTGCATCAACAATATAATCATTCTTCTAATTCAGCAATTTTTAAAATTCTTTCTGATTCATCTGATGATAAAAAAACCTGGGGCTATAGCTTTTAACAAGATTATCGTATCAGGACCACACCTCATCTTTAATTAAACCAAGTCATTACACCAAGTTCAGGATGGGAGAGAAAAAGAAAAAAGTCTGTAATAAGCATCATATACTTGCCCAGTGCTCCATACCTTAGTACTGTGCAAATCTCAGTTTACTCTACAATTGGAAAGTCACAATCTGAACTCTTGCTATTTAAGAAAAGGCCTAAGGAGTGATCTTACAATATTTATGTTCCACCCTCTCCAAAGAGGAAAGAGATTACTTACAGATCTGACTAAAAGACACCATAATAGAAAAGCAAAACCTTATGCTAAAATTGCTACTCTTTTGCTCTAAGCATTATTAAGCATATTTAAGAATTTCAAGTACTGCCACTAGCCCTACTACATCACCATAGATTAAATTTAAGGGGAAAAGTTATAAAGAACACTGGACACACTAAAAGCTTTGCTTTCCAAATAGCTGCTGCTGTGAAATTTAATAACTAATAAATTTGGAATTCAATCAATTTACAACTGCTGGATTTGAGTTACAAAAAAATTTTTCAGTCATCAGAACCCAAGAATGACTTTAAAGAGGAAAAGATGCAGAAAACGTGATTTCTACAGTGATTACTGAATGTTATTTTTTCATATATATCTGTAATAATCTTTGCATAGAAATGAATTGCAATAGGTTGCTGAAGGTGCAACTACTCCTACTATAACAAAGCAACACAATTTGCCGAACAAAAATATCTGATTTCTGCTGGAAAAGCTATGATTTAGAATTACTGAAATGGAGAATGCAAGCATTGTAAGAATGCTGCCATAGGTTATACACCTATCCTCTTCTTGTTACTTAAATCTATTTAGGTGCTTTAGGAGAAGCTGTTTTTTCTCCCTCTTTCCTTCATACTTTCCCAACTCTTCTATACACATAGTGAATTTACAATCCTCAACACAAATAGTTTTTAAGCAGCCAAGATCACATTAGCAATTCAAACTATGTTGTTATAGAAGCACAAAAATAAGTCTGAATTTTTGGTTATTTTTCTACTATTTGAAATCTAATTCACATTGAGACCATGCCGACCGATACTTAAATACTGCTTACTGTAATATGCTCATCTTCAGCTGCAGTCCATGCAGTACTTCTATCACTCTCTGTACATCGCCAAGAAGTTGGTGAGTGGCTACTATCTTCTTGGCATTCTGGTGGGAATAATTTTCTTCCAAAAATGCTAAGCCATGCATGTGACCATTACTTAACCACTCCTTCTCATACCAGTACTTTAAGCTGGACCTCTGACCTAAAGCAACAGTAATGAACGTGTTAAAATGAAGCATTAACTATGGTATGTTGACATTGCTGGTAGTAATTCTGATTATCTCAAAGTCTTGCAACAGCTTATTTGTTCTTATCAATAGTACCAATAAATATCCTATAATAGCAGACAAAACCCTGAAGACATAAGAACTTGTAAAGTGGGAAGTGAGACGACAACCTCAGAAACCTCTGCCCAACTGTAAAAGCATTCAGACCTCAAATTCTGAAGGACATTCACAAAAGGTAATTGAAGCTGATGCACACAGAAAAGTGTATTTTTAGCAGGGTATTACACTGCCTAGTAACCACGGTTATAACTAAAGCTACAGTTCGAATACAGCTCTCTGCAGACAGAAAAATGCAGCAAAAGGCAGTGACCTTCCCTTTTCCAGTGGTCTTGTTTTTAAGCATCATACATGTATTAATACAGTCATTCAACAGTAAATTTTAAAGGAATCAGTGATGAGGTTCTGATGGAAAATTTGTTTAAGTCAGGCTATTAATACTGCTAATTCTAGCTTAAAAGGCTGGAATATTAACAACAGCCAAAATGAAATTATGTTAAATGTGATAAATGCATCAGTAAAAGTAACTTAAGCAGCCAAACAAAATGGTATTAGCAGGAAAGAGTGGAACTTGAGATCCTTGCTAAACTGCAAAAACAAACACAAAAAAATCCAAGCCAAAAATCCAACAAAAGCCCACACATCCCCTGTAAAATGTATTGTTACAACAGATGTTCTCAGAAGACAGCTCAGCACCCTGAGAAACACCACTTCATTCACTGGCCTGTATACAGCCCAGTCAGCAAACCTACAAAATCAGAGATAATACTGGAGCATAGACTTAGAACAACATTCACAAAATGTCTCCAATATAAGCAGGGTAATATTGACTAGAAGTTTCAGCAGTTAAAGAGAAGCTAAAAAAAAAAGTTACTTGGCAGCAGAGAAACAATAAGGGATTGCACTACACACATATTTGGTATCATTGCTACCCATGCTGTTAACTTTGGCTCAATGAAGCAACACAACTCTTTGGAAGCCATACTGAGAAATAAGCAGAACAGGTGCTTATATGCTTTTGGATGGTAGTTATAGAATGGCAACAAAATGGTTTCTATGTCATGCCTTGTATGAACATCTGTGCACATTAAGAACACTTTCAAACTTAAATTTGATACTAACTCTGTCTCAGTAAAGGAATAAAAGCAAATGAAACAGCTTGTAAGCATGCTCAGCCACTAGGCTGTATAGGATAATACTCAAATGTTTTGAGGCAAGACCTCCAAAAAATCTCAAACAGAAACCAACACAGACAAGAACAAATTTTCAAGGCTATAACAGCTCAATTTTTCAGGCAGATACACTGTAACAAGCAAGAGATCTTCTAGGTATGGCCAGAACCACTTTGGAGACACTCCTGACATACCTGTATTAATTCCCACGCATTTATTTTTGTGTTAGAGAAACTACCATTTGTGACAGAAAATTAACTTCAGTCCGCAAGAATAAAATAATGAATTTTAGAACTCCATGGTCATCTGAACAATACTGAGATTATCCAACTGAAGCCCACCCACAACATTGTTTACTTAGTGGTGTACTCAGAGCCAAAAGTACTCTCTTTCTAGCTGTGTTAGCTTAAGAGAAGACACAAGACGATATCCAACAATGCATGCTTTCTATGGCTTGAATTAATTTGTCACATCAAACATTTTGATAATGTTTAAGCAAGGGTAAATGTTACCAAATCTCTTAAAAATCCCACTTCACTCAAGAAGAACTGTCCAAAATGACAGTTGGTACAGTTTTTAGGCATAATTACACTACACTTGCTTTTATTTCCAATAATATGAATGGTGCTGTTACAAGTACCAGCACTAAACTGGGTAAAGCTCCTAAATAAAAGTTTGCTGAATGGCTATGCCCAGTTTTAAAAGCAACTTCTGTGCTGATTCATAAAGCCTATTTAGCTCATTTCAAGCCAACAGCAGATTCACTGAAATCGAGAAGCCACTTCTGCACTTAAAAAGTTGGATATGTTTTCCTTTTCCAAGACACAAGTAAAACTAAGTCCAAATAAAAAAGTTTCAGGATCTTCAAAGCAATAGCTGATTCAAGCAATTAAACTAATTAAGCAAATGAAGTGTTAGTTGTAATCAGTTTTTACCAAAAAGCATTCTGATAAAGTTTCTTACTAAATAGACATAGTTCAAGTACGATGACACAACTTCAGTCTGCATTTAAACCTAACTAATGTGCACAACTAACTCAAATTGACACAAATCAAAAGCAAAATATCTTGAAAATAGAGGGTTAAAATCCTGGATGCAAGATACTGTAAAAAACTTTAAAAAATGTTAAACTATTTTACTACTTGGATAATTGAATGTAAGCACAGTGTGTCTTCCTTGCTATGAGTAAACACAACATTAGCATATGAACTACACAAATCAATGAGTTAAGCTACAAAAGAGTTGGTAGTTTTAAACAGCCAAAAAAAGCAGAGATCGCAATCGAAATATGTATATAATCCAAAACAGTCTTGTGATTAGGCAGAGATCCCATTTTCTCATCATTTATGAACATAGACTCAAGCCCGAACCTCAAAAGTTTCCACATTCAGCAAGGCTTTATAATTCATAGAGTTAGGAAGTCAGAAAAGATCCACACAAGTGTAATTTTACCTGCTACATAAGATGGACTAAGGCATTTTAAAATACATAGGAGTAGAGAAAATACTGGTAGATCAACTCTGACTGCATTACCCAACATAAATACAAATATAAATTATCTTGGGTAACACACTCAGACAGATAAGAACCATGGCTGTTGAGAACCAGTGAGCCTCTTGCTGACTTATTTTAAAGAACACGTAAGCCTGGTCTTGTTGGAGGAAAGCTGCACTCACATCCTGTAAGATGTGCCCATGGGGAGTCTTTGCTTAAGTTTCCTGAGTGCTTCTTAAAGTCATTTTCCAAAGCGAGACAGCACAATCCTTATTACTGGCAAACATGCGACAGATGGTCACCACAGTTAAAACATTCATTTCCATTCCTATCCAGCTGTAATTCTACAATACTGACTCATGTACATTCACATAAATTAAACTTTCTGTATCAATAACTGAACTCAATTATCTATAACAACAGACACATATAGAAGAAGGCTCTGTAACCTTAGATTTCTGTACCTGGAGGATCTTGGCAAACATAGCAGGTGTATTTCTCAGGTACATTATCTTCCAGTAAGCCCATACAGACTCCATGCTGCCAGCACAGACACTCTTCACACTGTTTAAAGTCAAGAAGTGCACCATCAACAGAAATGAAGCCTACAGGAGCTCAATAAGATTACCTCAATTGAGAGACACATCATCTACATATTTTAAGACAAAAAAATGTATTAATACCTACCCTCCTCTTCCAACTACAAGTAAATACATTGAAGAAGTGGACTGCAATAAAGTCTGAACCCTTCCCACACATTTTTCACATGGATTTCTGGAGAATGACAACAATTACAAAGTGGAAGCTGAGATCCTGAAAGGTGCAAAAAATGTTCCCTTTGGCGATGAAAATGCTTCACAAGATGCATGCACACATAATCAGGACAGAAAACAGTATGCAATCAAGCTTTCTTTAGCAAAATATATCAAGTTTTCAGAATTAAAAGGTTTCCCGCTCAAAGGGTAAATCACATTCAATTATAAAATCCAAGGGATACTTATGTCACATAGGACTAGCCAATATTATGCTTTACTGATACTTCTATCTCTAGCATTTTATCTATTTCAAAGGTAGCTCTACTAATATAAAACTCCAGTGCAGATGCAGTTATACTAGCTTTAAAAACTTCTGACATCCTTCTAAGTGTGAGCAATCACATTGGCAAAGACTGAATATAATTTGGTCCTACTTTTTTAGCACAGTTATGCTATTTAAAATGCAATCACTGTACTTAAATTCATACAGTTTTAGAGCAGGAAAAACTATATCCACATGTTCTGTTTCAGTCACTTCCAACCCACCTCCACCCCCCACTTTAACAAGCAGACAAAACTTCATCTGTAGCCTGAAGACCCCTGAAATGTGAGACCAAACCCCACTTCAGAATATTAGGCCAATTTTGATTTGAAACTGTGGTGTCAGTTCAGAATTACTATTTTCACAAGCAGTGAGACAATAGATCATAACCTTTATTTCTCAGAGCACAAGCCAAAAGCTTAATGCAGAGATCTTGCCAATATTGGCAAAGGTTTTCAAAATCAGCTAAACCAAACACAAACAGCAACCCCAAGCAATCTCAGATGCTGCTCTTCACTGACCTACAAAGATGCCAACTTGATAAACATCTCATCTGTGTTGAGCACCACTTATACCACTTTTATTAATGCTGCTCTTGTCTCCTGCCTTTCCTCAAGCTAGGAAAGACAGAAAGGGACCACCAGTTTTTGCATACATCATTGTATTATATTAGTGGGGTTTTGCATACATCACTGTATTAAATTAGTTGTCTAGGTGTGGAGGAAATAGAAGCACTGGGAATGGAGAATGTAAAAGTTTAGAGAGAAACAGGTTTGACAGATGGGACTAACAATGTTTTGCCTTACAAAATGGCTAACAATCCTAAAGCAATAAGGAGATGTTTTCAAAAAAGGTTGAGAGACCATCCTACTTTCACAAAGATGATTAGCAGGAGCCAGAAAAACGTGTCCTAAAATGAAGAAAACAGATTAAGAAAAATAGACTGCATGGTAAAAGTAAGGAGGGAGATCCTGGACCTAGTTACACTTGCATCCTATAAATCATGCCATATGGCACAGAGCTACACACAGTGATTTTCCAGGCAAATTTGCCTAGGACTCTAATGAAGCATCCCATTTTTTTTATTTAAATATCAGTTGAGTAAAATATCCACCCCATCAGGGCACAGGTCCTTCCTTTTATCTGCATGTTCTACTTGGCTGGCCAGGCTAAAGGCTATTGCTCTGGACACATGCTACATAGAAGCTGCACCCTGCATATGAAGTAGTAGCAAAGCAAGCCAAGTAAGACATTTTGAAGAGGAAAAACACAGAGCTGTGCAATAATATTTAAATTGAAGTTCAAGTGTGAAAGAAATACCCAAACCCAATGGACATGTATTTAAAGCAGCTTTTCATCTACCGGAACAAAAATATCCCAAGTCCATTTACATCCATCACCTCCAAGGCCACCAAATCCAGCCCCAGAATTCTCTACATCACACACAAATTCACCAATATTTAGGTATAAAAACCAAAATGAACAGACAATGACATCTTTGTCTGGACTTTTTTGGCCCCAAGCCTTACCCTAAAAAAGGGAGTGCTGTGCCTTCAGAATCAACACACAGCAACGCTAAGCTACTACTTTACACAGGCTCCATAAATGATATCTAGTAACCTCCTTGCAAAGTTACAGAAACCAGAATGAAATAGCATTGACCAATGATATATTATTTTTTTATATTTTTTTCCAGTTTTACCTTCTACTAACTGAGGCAGGTACTTAAATTAAATGCAAAACCATATTTCTGTATCCTGGTGTAATGAATGGTATTCTTTATGCGCAAATTGCTTGAAAGAATTAATTTAAGGCAAGTTCAAGATAAAGGAACAGGTTTTTTGCAAAATCTCTAAGCTGAATTTTTTGTGGGTTTTATTATTAGTTTAAAGACCTAAATGGAACAAATTCTTGGTTTAACCATGTAAGAGTTTCATTAAACCTTAATGGTCCCTGATCTTTTCAGGAAAAATAAAGGTGCTGCTTATGTTTAAAATTAACTTTTTTTTTTCTCATTATTTCTAAACTTGGCAAATTCCTGGAAATGAGCACCATTCAGAGAGAAAAAAGACTTACCATTCTCCCTCTTGCAAGAGGGCACCATACATGTACCCTGGGAGGGAGGAACCTCCAGTCACACGCATGGAGAAAATGCCCTGGCTTCTAATTTTGATACCAAGTCAAGGCAGACCGGCACACAAGGACATGCTCAAGCAAGTACCCCAAGTGTCAGCATATTTCAGTCAGATCTCATCAGTAATAAGCAGGAGCAGAATAAACACTTCAATGGAGACAAGTGCAAAGAATGACAATATTCTTCTAAAAACCCACACACCAAGCAAAACCACATATCTTCAGGAAGAGAGGACAAGTCTGAATGCAAGTTCTTTAGGATAGAGGCTTCCAAATTCATGTTTCCAAGTGTCAAAGTAAAGTCTGAGTAGGAAATAGGGAAGAAATCTCTTTCTTATAGTTATGACAACTACATGGGATCCTCACTCTGTAAAGTCAAAGGGAAGTGTCAATCTCAGCACTACACCTCTGAAAGGCGGAAAATAAGTTTCCCTCATCATAATTCCACAGTTGTAAAACATAGCATCTTTGCTTTGTATTAATGCTCTGTAGTTAAAGAGCTAATTCAGACATTTTCACATCAACAGCATAAGACCAGACTGTTCAAAACATTTTCCCAAAAACTACAGGCTGACAGAAAGATGTGGAGAGCACAGCACTTGGTACCTTAAACAAACTATCTGCCTAATCTCCCCCTTCCCCCCCCCAATCTTATTACCACCTCCTTGCTCTCCAAGTCCTATTGCTTCAGTCCCCGTAACAAATGCAGGTACTCACCACACTGTCGATCTACATCTCTCTTCCAGAGAGAATAACCTGCTCTCCTAGACAGTTCTTTTATAACACAGCTGAAGTGTTTAAAACTTTGCAATACACTCAAAACCCCCCCCCCCAACTAGTTCAACCTAGAAAACGGATCTCGGAAGCAGCGTGCAAAACCTTACATGAAAGGTATCCATAGACTACGTCCTGAGCTAGCTATCACTTCTCTGCCATTCTGCATAGACTAGTATTGAGACTGCTTTTGCCAGAAAATTATACTCCAGACTATATCTTTGTGTCTTTCATTGAGCCATCTCTTCAGAGGACAGCCAGCCCCCTTTATTCCCAACTGTCAGACTCCTCTTCCTCCTATACATTCAGGTGTTACTTATCTAATTTTGACCACAAACCATCATTGCACCCTCTCCTACCAATGCACAAGGTATCTTTTGCCCTGCATTGTCTGGATCCCACACTAATACAAAGGTGTGCATCAAAATGAACTTGGCACTAACAGAAGAAGTGTCATACGTTCCAGAGCAAATCTCCATAAAATGGTATGGAATGCCAAAGAAAAATACCCAATTAAGTTAGCTGTTAAACTCAACCATTGAGGACAAAAATCACATTTAGCTGCATTTGCTAGCTCTATTAATTTTTTTTTTAAATTAGGTTGTTGATGTTCAGAGCAAAAAAAGTTGTTTCTACTGTCCTGCTGCAGAAGCCAAGAATTCTTCACGCAACAATTTGAACAGTGCACACCTTCTCCTTAACAGGCTTCTGCCTCCATTCATGCAATAAAGTCCACCAAAAAAATTATCAGCAGCTGTGAGGTAGGTATAAATCAGCTTCTGTCTTTCCTCCTAGTTCCAAAGAGCAAAAAAGAAATGCAGTTCACAGTAGCATGCCAGGAACTATCCCAGTAAGGGGTCCCATAAAGTGGGATTCAAACCTCTCAAAAATTAGCAACAGAATGCCTGGGAAAGTGAACTCAAAAGCTGCAGATGGGACCGAGCTTCGTATGTCAGAAAAGTATTTCTGAAATCAGTGTCATGCCATATCCTTTCACAAATAAAACCAACTCCTCAAAAGAATGCAACAATTACCTTAAAATATGCAATGAATACAGCTGCCAAGCTATACTACTGTCACTTTGAACTGAGGTCCTACAACAAGCAAGAAGTTATCTAGACAGGAGGAGTAGGAGCCTCCTAAAAAAAAGAAAAAACCAACAAGCTGCAGAATGGATGGCTGCAGCTCTGCTTCAAAACAAAAGACTCAAGTAAGGATTTTTTTCTTCATCCTATCTAGAAGATTGCATGTTTAAGTCAAGCTTCTTGCAAGGGCAGAGAAGCGGAAGGGTACCACCATCTCATGGCAATGTTCTGAACATGCTCACAACTAAAGGGAAGCAAAAAAGCCAGATGATAAGCCACTGATTATAAATAGATATTCTCTAAACATAGGAAACGTTGCAATTTTTAGAAAAATGCAAATCCACAAGTGACAAGCCAACCGTTAATGGCTTGTGTAGAATTGTCCCTTTGCCCCCACTTTCTTTCAATTAAAAAAACCAAACTGTATCAAAAAGTGGTTTTCTACCTATCATAGCAGCTGGTCACCCTGATAAGTTACCTTAAAGATTTTATGATTTCAGAGGACAATAATAGTTTATTTCATGTACAGAACATACCTGTGCACATTTCTACAATAGCTTTTCCACTGACACTTCCCACTGTATTCACTGAAATGTGCATTCACCCTCTACATCATACCTGAATCATGAAGTCATTTTCTTCTTTTACTTCACAAACACACCGAACAATCTCAAAATCACTGTCTTCAACTTCTTCATCAGGGTTCGTGGTTACATCAACATCTTGACTGCAGTCATCATCACTCCAAGGCAAGCTATCCATAGATGACTCACTCAGGGCGTCATCCTCTATACAAAAAGTAGTTAGATAAAATCCCAAGTAATTATAAAAAGGTCAAATAACTCTCACGATTTCATCCCAAGTATGCAATCATACATTTCTAAAAGCATGAGTTCACCATGTAATTTAAGGAACATCACAATGTTACTACATAATGAAGTTTTATATTCTCATTAATAGCTCCTTCAAAATATTCCAACTTAACAGCTGTCATTAAAATTGTATTCTCAACATACAGTGCCTCAAACCAAAGGCACAAAGTCTCTTTAGACAAGTATAATAAACAAAACCAGATTTATAAATTCAAAAAGAATTCATACTAGTTTCTGCAATTTGTACAGAATTGTGACTTGGTACTTTAAGTGTAAAGCTCCCCAAAAGATATGAGGGTTCTGTCTTACAAACCACTCGATCTCACAAAGTAATGTCTCCATACAAAAACATTCAGAGACCAACAGAGAACTTAATCCTGCTTCAGAAGTGATTATTTTCATTTAGTCCCCTGTTAAGGACACATTTATCAATTCAGGGGCAGTGCGCTGCCCAAGGTATTCTTTAAGAATGCTCCCACGCTACTTAAAGCATTAATGCATTTCTGTGGATGAAGTAAGACTGCCAATAAAATCTTTACTGAACAACATGCTAAATTGAGATGCTTACCTTAATAATATTAATGCAATGTCTACACCTTCCTTGGGGATAGAATGGGAGGGTCAGAGGGAGAAGAGATGGATTTTAATTATTTGGGAAGTGAGGTGGAGGAGAGCAGAAGGGAAAAATTATAGTCACTCTTAAGTAGACTGTGGTCCACCTACATTAGGTGGACCTATTTTGATCACTTAGCCCCTAAAACAAGACTGTAGAAATAGAACCACCAGTCTGTAGTATAAACTAGATCTTTTGAAAAACATCTGTTCTCAAATTTAGGGGGCTGAGAAGCCAATGCATTAGTTAATTTTCATGTTTAGAAGTTTTATTCTACCTCTGAGATAGGACACACTTTTCTGAAGTACTCTGTAAGCAACAGGTTAAGCACCCTGCACTTTCATTCTACACAAGAGTTTTACTATTACTTACACCAGGTCTTCTTTATCTAGGCACTGCTTCTATTGTTAGTACAAATTCTGCAGATGCAAAAAGCAGCAAAGCAATTGTGAAAAGGATGAAATAAAACTATTTCCAATACTTTTCACGTCTTTCAATGTCTATGAGCTGATCAACAGAAGTCTGAGCAACGGATGGCCACGTTACTAAACTGCGAGTGCATTCTATGGTCAATACGCTCCAAAACCATAATTGCTCTGACTTTCAGAACATGTTTTAAGACATCATCACAATCTTCGCCTCAGTAGTTTTTAATGTTTCCTCTTTTCCCTATACAATGGAATTAGCTGAACTTAATTTTTTCATTTTGCCTAATACCAAACAAGAAAACAGTTGTGTCAAAAAAAAATCAAATTACCATCAACAGTGTATCTGTACAATAAGGAATTTAAGGTTCCCATACATATCAAGCTGTCATACATTTCCCATTTCCTTCAAATTTGCGAGCTTTAAGAATAACAGAAAGAACAAAATGTTTGTCTTCCTTTTTTATTGTACCAGCTTGTGACAGTAAACAGGAAGATGGACCAAGATATTAAAAATTATGAAAGCTGGAACACAGCAGCCACATTTTTATGAGCTCTGTTTATGAAGTGCTATGAAGACACTAATAAATAGCTACTCAAGAGCTCATCATTATGAAGCTCAGAAAGTCATTCTAACCATGTATCATACTGTATCTATACAAGTACACATAACCACATTCAGTGGTCTCTCAAACACAGCACACACACTGTATAGACTTGCATATCATCTATTATTAACTCTGAATGAGTTATTACTTTGTAGAAATCTTTGGAAATATGAAAATTTTAATTACTGAAGTGTGAACATAGTTATTACAGAGTTAATAAGGTGCTGCAAAAAGGTGCAGTTCTGAAACAAGGGCAACAGTCTTCTAGCTTCTGTGAAGGTAAAGCAAAGCAAAAAGCAGCAACATCAAGCTCTGGCTAATGAACTGGGTTCAACTTCTTCAAGCAGGGGAAAGGAAACACACACAGTCCTACGTAAGAATAGCCAAGTTTACATCATGAGTACCAGCTTTCGTGTCTGTTAGTGCAGCTCACATATTTACTGGTATTGAAAGACAGAACCAACAAACCAATGAGGAGAGTCATCTTACCATTTGTTTTTGATTTTCCTCTGTGCTGCCCAGAATCAGAGCACTGCAACAGTGTGCTTGGGTGTGCAGATGATTTATTTGAAGAAATACATTTTGTGACAACTGATTTTTCAGAAGAAAGCTCCTGCAAAATATCTGTGTTTTCTTCACTGCCAGAGTATTCTGTAAAATTGGAAGAAGTATCATTATTAGAAATCTGTGGTCAAGAAAAGTTGACAGAAGAAAAACCAGCACCATGCACGCCCATAGCAAGCATGTATAATCCACTGAGACAATTTTCACTTCAACATGCTAGGACTCTGGGACTTCACTATGCTGCTGAAAGATGTGTAAGCTTTCTAAAGGCTAGAAAATTGTCTGAACCAGAAAAATCTTATGCAGCTCAGTCATCCTTCACTGCTGACATGAGAAAGGCTGAAAAGACTGGTTACTTACACCTAACTATTCTTCAGGGTGAATAAGTCTACAAATGCTTTTGCATTACAGGCACTTCTAACACAAGCACTGTTAGCTGGAGACCTCTCCCTCACACCCTGCTATTATTCACATGGGCTACGCACACTCCCTAATCTCACAGACTAAAAAGTGGACAGAAAGCATCTCTTCTCTTATTTTTCTAGTGTAGGTACAGGATGCATGGGTGGAAGAGAAAGGCCCCAATTAGGAACGTGTGGAGAAAACACCAAGAACAGTTCCTCTGTGAAATACCCATTTGTCATGTCCTGGACTGTATAAATCGAGACTGTCAGCAGTTAAGCAGTACCCTCCAATCAGTTATCTGGAGAAAATCTTCAAGGTTCCTGGACTGAAGAACCACAAGGGCAACATCAAAAAAAGGCAAGCAACATTTTAAAACCCAAGGGCAGACAGACAAGCAGTTTGCGGGTACTAGTTGTGCAACTATTGCTTAAGTTTACAAATTATACTTTGCATATTATCATTATATTTGAAGGCACCATACAATCAGAAACTCACTAAAATTATTTGTTTCAGTACAATTCTGAGCCAGCCTGCCTGCGGTTCTTTCTTCCTGTCTACTCTCTCATGACAGCTTGTCCTATTTCTTCATGGCAGCAAACAAAAAGGTATTCTCTTTCCTGTCTCAGAAACTCTTCCATAAGGAGCTCTAGTTTAACAAATTATGCATACCAGATTGAAATGTGCTGCATTAATGATCCTAGACATCCATCAATGGCAGAGAAAGTTGCCACCCTTGATCTGTAAACACCTTACTAGACAAATCTTTCAGAATCAATTGCCATTTCAGAAGTGAAGAATCCAATCACTAATAACACCTGGGCCTACATATGAAGTTCAAAGTGTAAAATGGCCTGAGGAAAGCATTCCCAAGCCTCTGTAGATGAAATCAACAGAGAAGACATCTTCCTACTGCAACCCTGTTAATGTAGGTGGAACAGCAGTTATGAGACATGACAGGGGGACACAGCATGAGTATAGTCTTTAAATCAGGCTTTCACTTCATCTCTCCAGGAGAAGAGAGATTTATCCTTTACGAAAAAAATTTAGGATGCGACAGGTTTAATACAGCTCATTGTCACAGCCTCTGAAACCCCACCCCATACTAAGTGAAGATGTAAGAAACAACAAGGTTAACGGCAGAAAAACAGGACCCATCAACATTTCCAAACTTCATCATTCATACAAGGTCCCCAAAACTAACTCATGTAACTGAGAACATCTGGTACACAGGGTACTTGGTAACAAATCAAGAGGATCTGCACCCACTTTAACTGGTAAAACTTGCATACAAGTACACTTGCTAATGAAAAGCCAGACTTAGAAGACTGACGTACCCATTTTGGAGCTTAATTTATTCTGTGCCATCACAAGCACTACTATAAGCCATCATCCAGCATTAATGATGCACCTCAACCAGGAAATAAATTATCTTGCCAATCACAATTTAATATTAACCACTTAATAAAATCAGAACTACCAGATAACTGAAGAAACCAGTCTTAAGAGTGTGGAACTGGGTAACAGGCAAAACAAAATAATGAAACCATTTTCCTCTACAGAAGGAAAAAAGAACTTTACCAGGCTTAGATCGCTTTTTCTTTTTTTTCTTTTTCTTTGACTTGGACTTTCCATAGTCTTTGGATTTTCTTTCTTTGTTCTTCTCATGTTCTTTAACAGCTGAAATTAGACAATATTCCAACTTAATTTTTAAGATATATACACACTTATTCTACTTATTAATTTTTTTTAAAGACCTCCACAGTTTCTTTGGACCATCAGGGCCAGTTCACTAAAAAAAAAAAAACCCAAACCAACAAGAAAACTTATTTGTAAGAATTCCCAGCTCTCATAATTCGAATAGTTTGTTTTAAGTCCTAATTTGATTGTCCCATAACAATAATTACAATAGCATATGGGAGAAATCAACTGTATGCCAATGCCCATTTACCACTTACGTGCTTCAGAGGTTATTAAAAAAGAAGATACTGGGAGATTTTTTATATCCGTTTTCTAAATTATTATGGCTGAACATATCAGTAGCATTGTGACAGAAGTCTGACAAGAACAAAACCACAACTCCCCAAACTCTAGTACAGTTTCAGTCAAATATTTTGTTTTCATGGAAAATGGAGTAACAACTGGTTCGATTGGCTTTAACTGCTATTCTCTCACCATCTGTTCTCCATTCTATTTTTATGGGAATAAAAAAACACCATAATTTTTGAATGATTGGGTGATGTCCTTCAATCAAGTCCATCCTCAAAGCATGCTTCCAGAGCACTTGCCATAAAGTATAATCCTGCTGCAAGGTAATATGCACAAACCCCTGCTTTCCATATCATAACATTGGTTTACAACTCCTGTCTTTCAGATTTAGGTGTCTGCAGCAGAATTTCTAGATATTTACACAGTTCCTTAAGTAAATTATCTTGACTTGGTCAAGACTATAGGTGCAATCATAAAATCTATTACGGAAAGACGCCTTGCATCTCAAAAGGGCTTTGCCCTCAGAGTGCTTAGCTGATTAAGCCACTCACCATCCCATTTAGAAGCCCATTTCAATTTCTGATTACTGATATCAGAATAAGCACCTAGGCACTCTAGACTGTAAGAAATCTTCTCCTGCACGAAACATTAAAGAACCCTAGCTGGTCTCATGAAGCAAACCAGTGTATTATGTTAACCTCTTTCGTACATGCTAATAGTAAACTCCCCAATTCACAACCTAACGCTACACATTTATGGTCCAAACAGCTCACTCTGAGAAACTTGAAGTCTCAGTCACATTCTACCACCTGTGATAAGCATGCAGGAGACATTCTTATTAGCTCCTCCTCATGAGTCTTCAGCTCTGTATCTCCCCATCCTCTTAGACCTTGAATATCTCCTGCTACTTTGCCATTCATGTTCCTCTTTTGGCATGTCATTAGTGATGGCTGCTAAAATTGTGCATTGCCAGCAGCCACATTAACTGCTGACACCAATGGCAGCCTGCCACACCAATTACATGTCTTTCAAAGGCAGTATGACTAGCAGCACAAAAGAAACTTCATCCCCTCTCCACTACCATTTGTTGAGGGGGGTAAAAAGGAAAAAGAGGTTCATATTTAAGTCTTAGCACAGAGCTTCCAACTTCCTTCTTACTGTCCTTTGTCCTCATCTCCTAGTCCTCCAGTGGTCAAGATCCTCTGGGTACCATTTCCTTCTCCCTGCTCACAGGGATGCAAGTAAGTTCTGCCATTTTATTCTTTCAGAAGGGCAAAGAGAGAATAACTGAGGTCAACAACGGTAGGAAAATTCTGCATCTTTTATTTTGAAAATTGAAATTTCTAGGGTCAGATCATCTGATTTGTTTTAAGATATCCAAGTGCACAGAGTATGCTTCTTCAGTCAATACCAACATATCCATGACAAATATGACAAAAAATTGTCACTTTGTTCCACACTTTTTCCCCCTTCAGTTTGGCAGTTATGTCTTTTAAAAATCTGAAAAAATACAAGTATTTGCAAATTTTTGTATACAGCTATCTTCTTGACTGCACAACACAGTTAATGCCGGTCTTCCTAATAAAACAAAAAATCTGCAAAGAATGAGTATTATGAAAGTGACCTTCCAAACCCCCTGTACTGAAGAATCTTTTTGTCTCAAGTTGTTTCATATAAGCACTCTGAAGTCCAATCAATTCTCACTGAAAAAAAGACCAGATAAGGAGGCTACCTAGGTTAGGAGCACTCTCATAGATTCATGTGATCAAAAAGAAAGGTAAACTGCCCTATATAATCCTAAAAATTCATCACAAAACTACATCTTTAAAAAGGAGCTTTTTGGCAAAAACACAGAGACCTAAGCCATCTCAATTTCCTTGAATAGCAGAGAGACTAAGGAGGAACAGGGTGAGTACTCAGTCACATCTTCTACCACCACCATGAAAGTTTATTCTTATCTCTATATGCCATACTCTCAAGTAAGAAATGTCCCACTGAGTCAGCCCAATGAAGAGACACTAATGGATCTCATTCAGACCTTCCTACAAGGGAAGGCAGCAAAGGATACCCGAGAATAAACAGACATGGTAAGTACTGACTGACTACTATGACCAAGAGAACAATGAAGTATCAGGCAAGTAAGGTAATCTTCTCAAGACTATCTCCAGAACAAAGATCACCTGTTACAGACAGAATAGTCTAAGCACACAATTTTTTTGTGTTTTCCTGATCACTGTGACTCAAATTCTCATCACTTATGTGAAGGAAAGCAGTGATGTAGTAAATCTGGAAGTATGCTGCAAACTATATATATACACACATATGAAAATAAATTTAAATATATGTATTATTCATATATGTGTGTATACACACACCTCACCCCCTGTATGGCTGTTACGCACCTATACCAGAGTAGATTCCAGTACAAAAAAGGTTTACACTATATACCACTGATCAAAGTCATGAAGTAAAGTTGTTCAGAGTCCTTTAGTAGCAAGGAGTGTTGACTACCAGAAGTAGTCAAATGCTATTAAAAAACTACAAAAGAAAAAACAAGGTCATCCTGCCTCCCCTTTTCCTTCTTTTATTATGTTTAGATCTCTAAACAAGTTCAGGATTACTTAAAATATTTAATGCTTTTGACAACCAAAAGTTTAACAGAATTAAGACACGTGCATCAAACAAGCACACAAAAAAACCCCACAAGAATCTTTTCATGCCCTTAAATAGTTTAGTACTTTTTACATCTTAAAATATTACACACTGACTGGGAAGAATAAACCCCAATGTGTATAGCTAGAATACTTATAAAATTCCTTATATTGATTCTTCATTTGAAACTACTGCAAAGAAACAGCGAAAAAACACCACTTATATTTTATACTGTACATTCATAAAAAATTAAACTCTCTAAAAGAAGGTATATAGAATACTTTCTACCAATATTACCAGTTCCTTTCAATGCTTAAAACTTTTCCAAGACTTTTCACATTTAACTTCATGTTAAACTAAAAACGCGTACCATTTTCAACTCTTTCTTTTTCTTGAGGCTTCCGCAGTGATCTCGCTATGTGTTTCTTGGTTTGTTCTCTAACAGTATGTCGGTGACTATTTAATGCACTTACAGGAGTTGAAGTTCTTCTCTTTTCTATTTTTTCATCTCTATATGGGGTACTCCTCAGGGCTATGTGTAGAGGAGCATCTACAAAGAGAATAAAGATGAAGTCCAAGCTTTAAATACTTTCAAAATGTAAGTCTACTTCACCAGCAGCAGTTCTGGTAGTCCATGTGGAGTATTTCTGATCAGACACACTGCTCAACTCACAGCTTGTCCACAGAAAAGCTTTTAAACAGACACTGATTTAAAGGCTAAAACCTGTAATGCTTTCACTGGTTTGGTTTTGGGTTGTGGTTTTTTTGTTTGTTTGTTTTGTTGGGTTCCCCCCACCCCCCTCATCCCCCCCAAAAGAAACCACGGATGCAAATGCATTCCCCAAGCTCTATTCTTCCAGAAATACTGCAGCTTTGAAGAAAGATGGAAAGAGAAACAGCTCAGTTTGGGAGAGATATGGGTCAGGTAATTTTTATTATTAGTTTCTTTAAGAGAAAAGTGGCCCTGTTGAATTAGTTACAGGAACCACAGCCTGTTCTCAAAAGTGTGCTTTGTAATGCGGCATATAGAAGTGGCATAGAGAAGCTCTGCACATCTAAGGAAGGGCAGTTTTTAAACACATACCACTGAAACAACAGTGTTTCAACTGAGAGCGAGATGCAAGAATTCAGGATCACTACCTAAAATTTGTAAAAATCACAAGATACAGACATGGCTTCATCTGATATTCCATTCACTATTTAAGTCAAGTCAAATAGTTCTTAGCGTCCTAACTACAGCTAGCAACTCCTACTGAAAGACTCCTGGACATGGAAAAAGAGAGGTGAAGCTGATAAAAGCTAAGGCTACATACTTGGCAGGTAGGACAGCCACACTAAACGAGACAAGTACACTGCTGTTTTGGAGTATGACATCAAGTATCTTGGTCAATGAAACCCAAGTAGCCAAGGTGTCAGCTTGCTGACTTTCATCCGGAACATCCAATTCTATCACCATAAGCATCTCAAAAGTTCAGTGGATACAAAAGGCAACTTCCTTCTTGTCTTAAGACTTACATGCCAGCTGCATTTTGACTTGAACACCTCTAATTAAATAATTGTGAGCAGTACCTGAAAGTGACTGAAAAAAAGAAGAAAGAGTCCAAGAGAGCATATTAGGAGAAGAAATGGTATCAAGTACTCTGCCCTGACCAACATTTCAAGTTGAAGCTATAACAAGGCACATTAACACATGTCATTACAGAGCTTTCAGAATCAAGTAGGCCTCTTCAGGCAAAAGAGACTCACAAGATCCAGAAATCTGAAGGCCATCAGATGACTTTTTCCCTGGTTCTCTAACTCTGAAGTTGCATTAGAACTTGAAAAAAAAAAAAAAAGGAGCCATTCATAGTATTTCTGTAACCAAACTGTTACCTTCTAGTCAACTTCCATAGTACTTTACAGCAGCCACAACAGAAGACAGAAATTAGACCAACCTCCAAATTTCCACACAAGACTGTCTCATAAGGGTACCTTTTATCCAGTAAGGCAACTCACTGTCGCCTTTCCCTGGGTGCTTATTTACCTCAAGAGCTGCAAGA